TAATGCTCTCTCCATGCTCTTTGTGGGGGGCTGAGCCATTCTCTGCTGAATATTCTTTCACATCTGCCTATGAGGGGACCACTGGTTTAGCTCCGAAAGGAGCTGATTGTCAATATATGGTAAGAAATTGGCTAGTTTATCATGGCCCTCTCCAGGATAGCATTAGAACTGCTCAGCTCTCTGTGTCAAAGGGGCTATGCTGTAACAGCTACTGGATTTTTCCCTGTAGCTGAAATGGTAGTGGCATGTGCTTGTGGAACAAAAGAATCTGCATAAAAACGGTTGACAATGGATTTGCAATCTTTTCATTATTTAAAGTAAAAATAATTAGTAGTTTATGTGGAAGTCAAAGCCAAATTCTTCCTTCAGTCATATTCGTATAGCTACATTAACTACAACAAATTTGCGGTGGTGTAATTGAGGGCAGAATGTTTTGTGGGTTAATGAACAGATTTTTCTTTACTGAAAGGCAATGACATTAATGTAGGATGCTTCAGTAGATAATATTCTGCTATTGCTAGCCATTGCTTTACTCTTCCCAATCTGGTCAGTGACTTGGGAATTGAACCATGAGATTTATAATTCAGTAGAGTCTATGTTGCTGTCTGTGTGTTCAGCCACTATATCAGCCAAATTTAACTTGCATTTTTTTCAGTAAGTCAGATGAATTGCAGTCCTTTATTGTGAAAGCTGCAAATACAGTGTGAAGTATTCCTAAGCAGAAGGATTTTTTTTACAGTTTTGTTATGCTGTATAGTTATCCCTTTATTTTCAAATTAAATAATAAGTTTGCATTTACATTTAAAGAAGAATGGACTAAATTTAACTGGCATTTAGTTATTTTAGAGAAATTATTTCTATTTGGGTTGACATAATCCTATTATATGTTTGTACCATATGTTTCCCCCCAAGCTGTTTAACATTATAAGTAAACAAAAGCCATGGTGCATTCTAGAAGCACCTATTGGCAATATAGTCCTGGGCAGAAAATTCATACTGAACTGTGGCTCTCAGAACTACCAACAGAATTTGTTGGTTGAGAGTGAGAAACATGAATTTATTTACTTACATAATGGTGTTTTGTTAAATGTTGAAAATAAGATCCAGTGAAGAAACAGTTCTGTGCAGACAGCATATATTTTCTGTAAGAAAGGGGAGGCTTTTTTTTACCAAACTTTAAGCCCATAGAGAAACTTGCACAAACAGGAAATTTGTTTCTCCAGAAGCAAAATGCAGGACAATGTAGCACTTTAAAGACTCCAGAGATCTTCTACCCTGCTGCTTGTTCCTCACCTGAAGTCTTTGTCTCTGTTTGTAATATCACAATCATCTCCACAGCAATTATTTAGCTGATTCAGTCCTTCTGGTGATCATCTGTTCTATTACATTCAAGCATATTTTATATTCTGTTATTTACTTCAATTGTAACATACAGCTTCATAACATTTAAGTCACTTTTAATTGGCAACATTGTGACTTTCATTTATCTTACCACTTACACAGAAAACAAATATAGTAATCATGAATGTGGAAAGGCAGAGACTTTGTTTCAGTTTGGAAAAAAAAGCCCAGTAAATTAAGTTTCACCTTCCCAAATGTGTCTAATGAAATAAATTGCACTAATACCTGAATATAGAAACATCAGGACAGAAATAATACATTTTAATTCCGCATCTGATAACATTTTTTTATGACTGAAATAACACTTCCACTGTAAACCAGGTTTACTTCCATGCACGTAGTAATGTACGTTGATTCCATGGGAAAGGAATATCTTAGAATTTAGTATTAAGTCTAAATAAATGTGAAGATATAAATTATTTCTGATGTGGACATATAACTTTGAGAAATGAGGGTAGTCATTGGAATTCCCTTGTATTTATTAGATATCAAATAAGATAACAGATTTGAAGCCTCATTCATATGTGTAGGACATGCATTTTTGAACTGACTTTGGTAACTCTTCTATTGTTTAGGTGCTGACACCTCAAAAGACCACAAAGCTTATGTTGTCTGCTTTAGTTGCTTTCACATGCTCTTTGGAATTGTGAAGGTTCATTGTTCAAAGCCAAGATAGATCTAGTCTATTTTTCATTCAAAATATTTTTAGATTAAATGGGCCATTTTTCAAAAACAAAAATTAAATACTAATTAAATCTGTTTGACTTTCTCAACAAATTTCACAATTTCCATGAGACAAGGTCATCTTACACCCTCCTTGTAGCCAGTGCACTGTGCCTCAGTTCTCCCTTTTCCAGCTTCAGACACTTCAATCTCTTGTGTGAGTTCAGAATGACTTAACTGTCCAGCCAAATTGCAAAGCTTATCCTTCTGGGGGTAAACAACAAGTCCAACAAAACATATTAATCTTCTCAGTTCCTCAGCATCAGTTCCCACATTCTTTTAGCCTGTTTTCAGCTGCTCAATCACTTTTGTGCCATGGCCTCCCAATTGTCATTGATCATTTCTATCTGGGATCCAGCTTTGGGCTTCCTAACCAAGTACGTATAGTGACCCCCCCTCCACCCCCCCACAAATACAACTGTCACTCAGCTGATTTATTACAGGAGATCTGAACTACTCCCTATGGGTCCGTCTCCTTCTCCGCAGGAAGCACTACCTCCTGCTTAGTATCATGTGATGCATGATCCTCTAACCTAACCACCAACCAATATTCCTTTCTTGGAAAGCAGATAACTAGGTAGAGGTGAGCAGGGCTGCCCTTAGGCTGAATAGTGCCCAAGGAGAGGAGCCTTTTTTTGGCACTGCCTCCATCTGTTAAACTTTTGAATATTTTAGTTTTTATTACCTTTGTGGCTTATTTGATTACTTTGATGCATGATTTATTCCTGTTATATAAGATGATAAATTTGTGCATTAGGATGTGTACATCTGTATTTATTCATGTTACATATAAACAACATAAAAATTAGTTTCTTCTAAGTTAGAGATTTTTTAAAGAATTACTGAAATGTATTAATGTCAAGAAATTGAAATGTGCAGCATTGTTGGGTGGACTAGCATAAATAGTGTTACAGTGAGTATCATCCTTGCAATATTAACCATAGTTGTTTAGTTCAAAAGGTCACTTTTCTTACCTCTGCTTTTGCCAAGTGAAGCACAGCATCAGAAGATCCAAAGACTGGCCAATGGCATTTTTATGTGATGAAATAGCTAGCAATGTCAGTCTCTCATCAGCCATCATCTATTAAAGATATATATTAATGAGACTGAGCTTCAAGAAGTTGTGCTCACCACTCACAACTGAATTTGTACCTGAGTTTTCCATTGTAATTTGCCCAGCCCTCTCCCCTACACAGATAGGGGGTAGGATGCTCATCAGTCTCTTGATCTGAGAGCCGAGAAAGACTAGGGCCTCTGCACATGGCTTCACTATTTCCTGCCTGATGCATCTTATGTAAGGTGGGAAACTGGTGTGAATTAATGCCAAACGGAGCAGTATTAACTTATTCTTACTTGTGGCAGATTTTAAGGAGGACAGTACAACTAATTGGAATTTTTCTACTGAAAAAAACCCCAACTTTTGGGGGCAAATCAAAACGTTCAGCTGGCACAGAGAAATGCAGGGCCTCATGTGGCCTATAGTTCATTTGCCGCATGTGCCCATTATCCTTTATAGGCTAGGCTTCCTGGCCATCTCCTATGACCACTCATAGCTCCTGTTTTCCCCACTGGTTGCGCTGCCATCATTTACCATTGGAAATACAATCTGGAAGAACAGATACGAATGGGTTCTCCAGGCAGCCACACTACAACTCATGGTATGCAGCAGTAATATTTCTTTTCAGTTTTGTGGGTTTTGTGTGTGATTGAATTTTTCTGATTTCTGATTTTAAAAAATCATGGAAAACCAAATTTTCTGTCAAAAACAGATTTTTTCATTCAACATTTTCCACTAGCCCAGGACAAGCCTGTTGAAAGCAAATGCCAACCCCATCATTCCATTTTTTTCAGAGTTTGTTTTACTAGCCCCAAATAACCTACCTTAATTATTCATGTATCTCCACCCCCTTAGTTGGTACGTGGTATTTGAAAGAATTTTGGGAAAGAGGATTTCCCCAGAATGAGGGAGAGAGAGATATTCCCCAGGAACAGAATAATGAAGTAGTAGGTGGTGTTTCCTGGTCCAGAGAAGCAAGGCATTGCTCTGCATTTAAATCTGTTGAACTTTTAGACAATGTGCTCTCACCTCATTCCTTTGGCTGTGCCTAATGCTATACTAGTCAGATTACAGAAGCTTCAAGAAACCTTATTCAGGAGAAGAGACCCAGTCTGTGCTCTGCACAAACACAACCAATTAGGCCCTGGCTCAAGCAAAGCACTTAAGTGTATACTTAAAGCTTAGCCTAAAGCTTAATTCTAGTCAGTTCAACCAAGTGTTTAAGCATATGCTTCAATGAATTGCTGAACTGGAACCTTGAGGGGGTTGCTTGAATAAGTAGCTTGAATGTAGTTCATACTTAGTACTCAATACTGTTCAATCACAATTACTTTCACTAATATTTGAGGACATCACATATGTCTGGTTGAATGTAGACTTACTACTTTTAGTAGCCTTATAGCAGACTCGTGCCTGTGCTATTAGCTGGTCACTTTCATGGAAATCAAATTTAATAAGTAGGGATTCAGAGCAAATGATGGGGAAATTTGAGTTACATGCATCATGAATAGGAGCTGAATAAAGCTTTTAGATGGTAAATTACATTTGATTAATGCCATCGGCATAACGATACTCACAGTTTTGCTGTACTAATAGCAATGGCTATGGTTCTAGTTTCAGGTCGGCTGGACACTCTTATTATCATAATAAATACAAAATTCTTGAAAATCAACGAGTACGGTGCTAGCAATAGTGAACCAATGAAAAAGACAATAGAAAATGAAAATATCACATACAAAAATGTTGTTAAAAGAAGTTTTTTAATTAAAACTTAGCGAGACAAGGTATCTCTCGAGAAATTTACCAGGCACATTTTAAAACAAAGGCCCTATTCCAAGTAATTTGAAATCTAAATGCAACTTGACACAAAAGTAAAATGATGATGAATGTCAAAAGAGAGAGGAAGGACCAGATGGACAATAAAAAGAACGTGATTCTGTGAAGCAATCTGATGAGTCCAGTGTTTGCTTAGCACTGCTTCTTCCCCTCATTTCATTTCTCCCGTCTCCTCCCGTTTTGCAAAATAGCAGAAGACACGACTTTTAGGGAATGATTTGAATGAGGGAAAGAAAAAAAACAACAAATAAAATCCCTGTAAGTGACAAAGGGAGATTAGCAAACTGCCAGGAGCATTTGTTGTTGTCAGAGGTGACTTGCTTCCGGGGGTGCTCATGCTAGACAGACATATGGGCCGTAGTGCCTAGAGAGATATGTAACTGACTTTAACAGCAAATTCTCAGGCAGCTGACATCACATTCTGGAGGATTTGCATCTAGACTCTTGCAGTATAAGCCTTCCTATCTGAATCATTCAGGATGTCCTATTGAATACAGGCTAATTTATTGCATGTCAGCTGCTGCACAGGTGATAAAGAGATGTGGAGGATTGTAATATACATATTTTACCTAGCGTGACTGATTAACTTTGTTATTCATTTTGGAATATTGTGGGTGGCTACATTAACTGCTTCATATAGTTATTTAAATTGATGAGCATAATGGCACCAGATTTGCAAAAGCAGATGATAATATTTATCACGTTGTGCTTTAGCTAGTTGAGATTTTCATTTTTTTCTAATAATTTAAAAAATACATAGTGAACTATGCTGGATTTACACTGCTGGAACTTGAAGGCCATCTTAGCATGGGTACAGACATGAGAACCTGGGGGGATGAACTTACCCCCTACTTAAGACTCAAAGGGCAGTTCATCTATTTTAAGATTGGAAGGTATTGTTATCATCCCTGAGTCTTATCTCCTCCATTATAGAGGCAATGGAATTTCACAGAGTAATCCCTGCATCAAGACCATAGCTTTGGGCTGAGAATGAAAGAATGTGAAGTGCATAACTTGTAGGAAGACATCCATCTTATTCAGTGTTCAGGCCCATCCAATCCATAACCTTTCTTCTAACTTTCCTAATAGGACTATTACTATTACTATCCAATTACTATTCGAAGGGAGGAGGGGTTTAACGTGGTTACTTGTTCATAGGAGTTAGACCTGACACCTTCTTTTATTTTATGGTGTTTGTTCCATTTGGGTAGTTAGTAACAGCTGTTGGATAAAGTATTGTAGTAATTTTTTTGTGCTTTGCTATTGTCATATTGAAATTAAACTTGTTTTGTCTGAAGGTAATTGTGTGGCATTTAGAAGACACTTTTCACTGCTTTTTTAGTCTAAGTGTTTGAGACCAATGAGTTAAACAGAAGCGTTGGCATATGTACATAAGCAAAACAGCCCTCAGGCACTCACCATCTGTGTGTAACTGTAAAAAGTTATATACACATGCCAATTAATGCAAATATTGAGAATACACTGGATATTTAAAACTTGCCTGGACAATAACTAAACAAGCAAACCAAAAAGCCCAACAGGCAGGACATCATTAAAACTTACAATTGCACATGTAGGTGCATCTTAACTAGGAGTGGTTTTAAGGAATAATATCTCACCTCCAACAGAACAGCATGTAAAGGACTGAAGTCTCATGTTTAGAGGTAACTGGCAGATGTTCCCAGATCAGTAGCTGGCAGATGTTCCCTTAGCATCACGGTATCTTTGGCTATGATGTCCCTTCTGAAAATAAGCAGTGGCATTGGTAGCAAATTAGCCAGATTATCTAAAATGCTTCACGTTTGGAGATATGCACATTTGTCTATCTATCTTTAATAACTTAAAACAAAGTGATCTCTCCCACTGGAAAGGCTTGGTGGGACAGTGGTTAAGACATGGACCGGACTGAAGAGATCTGAGCTCCATAAGACAAATCACTGAGGGTATGTCTACACTACCTCCCTAGTTCGAACTAGGGGGGGAAATGTAGTCATACGGAATTGCAAATGAAGCCCGGGAAATTCAAATCCCGGGCTTCATTTGCATAAAGCCGTCCGGCGCCATTTTTAAATGCCGGCTAGGTCGGACCCCGTGCCGCGCGGCTACACGCGGCATGGACTAGCTAGTTCGGATTAGGCTTCCTAATCCGAACTAGCTAGTCCATGCCGTGTGTAGCCGCGCGGCACGGGGTCGGACCTAGCCGGCATTTAAAAATGGCGCCGGACGGCTTTATGCAAATGAAGCCTGGGAAATTCAAATCCCGGGCTTCATTTGCAATTCCGTATGACTACATTACCCCCCTAGTTCGAACTAGGGAGGTAGTGTAGATATATCCTTAATCTGGCAGAAGCTGAATATGAGCATCTACACAGCAATTCTGTTATTTTGAAATATCGAAATAATGAGCAGCTTATTCTGACTTCTGTAAAACTCATTCTAACTCCTCTTCTGAAATAGCTATTTCAAAATAGCCGTAGTGTGGATGCTCCATTGCTACTATTTCACAATAGCTCCTCACCAGGACCATTCTAATTAATTTCTCCCCAGTGCTTCCTGGGCCTCTAAATCAAGATAGTATGTCCACATTAGGGCTGCCTTGGACTAATTTTGCAGCTTCCCTGTAGTGTGGATGCTCTATTTTGAAATAAACTATTTTGGAATTTATCTTCCGGAATAGCTTATTCTGAAGTAAGCGTGCAGTGTAAATGTACTCTTTGGCTGTGTCTACATTGGCACCCTTTTCCGTAAAAGGGATGCTAATGAGACACTTCAGAATTGTAAATGCCGCGGGGGATCTAGACGGGATCTTGCGGAAAATAAGTAGGAATAAGGGATCTTCCGGAAAAGGGCTTATTTTCCGCAAGATCCCGTCTAGACTGGCGCTTTTCTCCAGCAAAACCCCGAGCCGGAAAAAAGCAGCAGCCATGTTCATGCAAATGCCGCGGGGGATATTTAAATCCTCCGCGGCATTTGCAATTCCGAAGTGTCTCATTAGCATCCCTTTTACGGAAAAGGGTGCCAATGTAGACACGGCCTTTGTATTTCAGTTACTCACTTTTAAAATGGGGAAAGTAAATCCAGGTATTGTGAGGATAAGTTAATCACATACTTCTGCAATGGGTGCTATATAAATAAATAACGAGTGCATCACTATGGTATCATCAATAGGTATGGGACCAGAGCCTTCTATGATATTGTCCACTAAATTCTTGGGCTTTTCTGTGAACACATCTATGAGGAAAGATCAGGTTTCCTGCCTCTTGTAGAAGAAACAATCTGTGGTATTCTCAATTATGGAAGGATGATCTTTCACAAAATCCTGAGCAGGAAAATGCAAAAATAAGAATAGAACCTAAACTCACTGTTCAGTAACATCACCTACATGTGATGAGACCTTGATAGCTGAATAATCACGGAGACCTTGAAAAAAAATATGGATGATAAAAATCTAGATGCTTTCATGGATAGCACGTAACAGGTCCATCTTTCAGATTACAAAGAGTTTCAAATAATTAAGATCACTGCTAGGAATAGTGAGGGTGAGTACTTAGGCTAGTTACTTTAGTACACATAGGCTCAGTATCAGAGCTAAGCTTCAAACTCCCAGGGCTTGACTCCCAGTCATGCATCCAAAGCACCAAACTAAACCTCTCTGCTTCAAAACCCTCTGACTAAATATCTCACTTCCTATAAATAAAGAGGCAAAAATGGAAGATGGTTCATTAGAAGCTAACTGGTATCTTAGAAACCATTGAACATCGTAATGTTAAAATAAGGAGCTTGAATTCAGTCTGTGCACCAATCAACATCTAGCCCAGAGCATGAAGCAGTAGATAAGCAGCATCTTTTCGGCTTACTCCTGATAGGTGCTACTGCCATGTACTTCACCTACTGTGAGTAATGGACGAGATACTTTAGTTGTGTTATACAGCACACAGTACAGCAATCCACTTGTAGAGGCAAACACTGCATGCATGCATGCTACCTGCCCTAAGAGAGTAAAAAGAACAAAGAAGAGACTAGAAGATGCCTGTCACAAATGACTATATACAGTACACACTCCCTAGAAACGTTTAACATTTTATTCATTCTAAAATGTGGGGGATGCTGAATTTACTAGTTAAATGATTTGTTTTTAATTTCAATCTAACTACTTTATAAAAAGAATGAGAATTGATTTTTC